AAGCAGGGGGAGTGGGAGAGGGAGAAGCAGGCTTCCCACCAAGTAGGGAGCCTGATATGGGGCTCGATCCCAGGACCCCAGGATCATGACCTGAGCTGAACGCAGATGCTTAACGACTGAGCCACCCAGGCGCCCCATATTTTTACAATTCTTTACAAAATGTAGTCTCTTTGTCATTACACACACACACACACACACACACACACAGAGTAAATAAGTACCCAGTGTGTTCCAGGCATTGTTCTAAGCTCTGGGGAACGCAGCAAATAACAAAAAGAACAAAAATCTCTCTTCTCATAAATTTATGTTCTACAGGAGACAGATAATTAAAAAGCAAATAAGTATTGATATAAGTATGTCAGATAATGATAAGTACCATGGGAAACAAAGCAGGAGTTGGGATGTTTTGTAATTTTAAATACAATGGTCAGGAAATATATAATACTTAGGATAGCATTAGTTGCTGTAACAGATAAATTCTAAAATCTCAGTCACTTAATACAAGAGAAGTTTATTTGTTGAACATTCAAAGCTCAGTTGATGGCAAGGTAGGCTGAGCATGTTTGTAGAGCAGTTTTGTTCCTTGTGGCCACTCAGGGACCCAGGCTGATGGAAACCACCATCTTCAGCATGTAGCTTCCAAGGTCCTCTTGTGTAGAGACATTCAGCCATCAGACAGAATAAAAGGGGAGGATAGAGGATGATGGACTAGGCCTAGAACTGGCTCATATCACACCCAGTCAGATTCCACTGACCACTTCTCAGCGTGTGGCATCTAGGAACTGCACCTTGCTACAGCTACAGCTCTACCCTATGGAATAGGAGTGTGAATCTCTGGAAGACAGCTAGCTATCTCTGCCACTGAAGGCTTTGCTGAGAATGTGACATTCAAGTCCTTAAGGAGGCAAAGAAGCAAATCTTGCCAACATGGGCAGAATTAAGGGCCAGTGTAAAGACTCCATGGCTGAAGTGGGGAGGTGGGTTGAGGGGAGGCATAATGGAAGGTGAAGTCAGAGAGGATGATATATTTGGCCTTGTACCTCATTCCAAGGACTGAGGCCTTAACCAAGAGAGATGGGAAGCCGTTGAAGGGCCTCCAGCAGAGGAGTGGCAGGAGCGCTTTCAACTTTTGAAAGAATTTTTATGGTTGCTGGGTTGAATATAGACTTTAGGGAGTTCCAGGGCAAGAGTAGGAGGCCATCCAACTGAGAAATGATGGTGGCTTGTACCATTGGGTAGCAATGGAGATGGCGAGAAGAGATCGTTTTCTAGATCTTTTTTAAAGATAGAACAGATAGAATTTGCTGAAGGATTGACCATGGAGTTCAGGGGAAGAGGAATCAGACTCTTCTGTACTTTGTGGCCTGAAAAGCTAGAAGAATGGAGGGTCATTTACTAAAGTGAAAATGTTGTCAGAAGATACTCAGTAATAAAACTTGTTTTATTTTTAGTGAGCTGGCTTCTTTCTAGTAGAAACATACTTTTTTAACCTTCCTTTGTTTATATAGGTTCCTTTTAACCATTATTTTCTTTTGGGCCACTTTGCAGTGGAGTAACATTGTAAAATCTTTTAATAAAATTTTCATTTAACCAAATACATATTCTGTTTTATGTATAAATTTTAAAGTTAAATTTTTTTAATCTAAATGGCTTTGAATTTTACTCTGCTATTCTACCTTTGATTCTTAAATGTTCTATTTTAAGGTACTAGAGAAGGACAGACTCGCCTAATCAGAGATGGGGAGAAAGTCGAAGCCTATCAGTGGAGTGTTAGTGAAGGGAGGTGGATAAAAATTGGTGATGTTGTTGGCTCATCTGGTGCTAATCAGCAAACATCTGGAAAAGTCTTATATGAAGGGAAAGTATGTCAACTTCTACTTTCTAATTACTATTATCTTAAAGCATTAGACAAAGGTTTTCTTTTCCCTTTTCCCCATGCTAATAAAATTTTCTTTGGTGTTTGACATTTAAAAATTCGTTTCTATGGAGAGATTTCCTCTTTTCCCTGCCTGGAAATTGATTTGTAAAAAAGTTCTTTCCATGTAGGGGAGCTGCATTTAATAGATTAGCCACTGTTTGTCTTTGGGTACTTACCATACGTAAACTGTTCCCAACCATTTTGGATTAGGAGCTTCTGTGCCACCTTTCACCTAATGCTTTGTGCCTCACTATATTTAACTTGACAAGATATGAGGGCCCCTACAGAGCAGTGCTTATAATGCCAGCATGTTTTGCTGAGTGGGGCATGGTAACAGCTAATACTTTTGGCCTTGAGATCAACCAATTAGAAACCCTCCTTTGGCCTTAATTGTGTAGTTGTAATACATCCCCTGCCTCCACCCCTAGTGAAACGCTGATCTTGCAGCACATGTAGATGGTTGCTATCAATCATCATATTCCAAGTGGAAGATTTTAACATTGCATTTTGGAGAAAGTTTAAGTGTTATAATAATTATTTTAAAAAGGACATATAACATCTGTGATATATATGTCATTAATATGAACAGATAAGTTAGTAATCATTTGTCTCCTTTTTGTATTCCTATTGAAGGAATTTGATTATGTTTTCTCAATTGATGTCAATGAAGGTGGACCATCATATAAATTGCCATATAACGTCAGTGATGATCCCTGGTTAACTGCATACAACTTCTTACAGAAGAATGATTTGAATCCCATGTTTTTGGATCAGGTGGCTAAATTTATTATTGATAACACAAAAGGTCAAATGTTAGGACTTGGGAATACCAGTTTTTCAGATCCTTTTACAGGTAAGTTAGGAAAGTCTTCTGTACTTTCAACAATGTTGGTTGATTTTTTTTTTTTTTTTTGCTTTTGATGTGTTTAAACATCCATTATGATTAGCTGTTTAAATAAAAACCAAGATCTAAGATCTATAGCAGGTTTTTACTTTAAATTCATATAGTAATTCTGTATTTATAGAAACAATTATATGTTGTTCCTTTTCAAGATTTTATTTATCATTTATTTTAGAGAGAGAGACTGTGCACATGCGGGGGGGGTGAGGGGCAAAGAAAGAGAAAGACAAAGAATCTCAAGCAGACTCCATGCTGAGCCTGATGCGGGGCTCTGTCTCACAACCCATGAGAGCATGACCTGAGCTGAAATCAAGAGTTGGATGCTTAACTGACTAAACCACCCAGGTGCCCCTTTTCCCTTTCAAAAATACAGCCACACTGTAAACTAAATCACGAAAATTTAATTTAGTCATATGAAATGAAAAGAAACTCAGAAGTTCCTTTATATAGTTACTCCTTTTTAAAAATACGTGTTTTGGTGAATTTTAGTAAACAGATTCTTTTCACATGAGGCTAAATTGGTTAGTTGGGCATCAAATCTAGGATTGAATTATGGGTAGTTTGAGTTTACATGTGCTTTGTATTCCACATTTTTAAGTCAATTGTTTATAACATATAGTGTCTAAAATGTTCTAAATGGGGATTTGAGGGGAGGCAGGGAAGGGCAAAAAAAAAAAAATGTTATAAATGGTATTAGGTTCTCAGACCAGTCCATAGATTATAATCCTAGTAGTATTAGTCTGAGTCCTTTTTCCTAGGAAATGGATTATAATACTAGTTGTACTAGCCTGAGTTTTGGGTCCTGGGAACTGAGGCCATGGTACAGGAGGAAATAAAATGCTTCCTTTTTTCTCAGGTACAGGGCCAGCTCTAAATAAAATTCTGAAATTAGCACCTTATTGTTAATATTTTCCTGTTGTCATTTCTCACGGCATTTTTCATGTGCTAGTGCTCTTCCTTGTTTTACAAGGATTCCATATCCCTTCCCGTCTTCCTCCCTCACAGATACTTCATGCTCCTAACTAAATTATCTCTTCTTCCTCTATTTCAACATTCCGTTGCTCATTCACTCAGTAAAGCTAATGTCACCTGCATGTTGACTTAAACAGAATTATCAGACTGACTCACTACTGAGTATAAATGATGTAACCCCTCCCAATAGTTGCACTTGACAGAAAAAAAAAAATGGATTTATTATCTGGGTATTCTGTTGATAGAATTTCAGACAGTACAGAAGAGTGAACACATGATCATAGTATTGTGTCAGCTGTTTTGTGGAGCAGAAGACAGAGTTAGAGCAGCTGGCTCCATCTGGAAATCTTAGCTCTGGCTTTTTTTTGCTCTTCTGAATCTCTAACTTTATAAGCATCCTTTTGTGTGTACTTTTTACATATGTCTTATTGTAGACACCTCTGATTATTTCCCTAGAGGTACTAACAAAACATGTACTCACACACACTCACACACACCACACATTTGTAAAAGTATAAATGGAAATCTCTTTCCTTTGTGGCACTCATCGCCTTTGAAAAATTCTCTTCTCCAGTAGGTTGTAAGCTTCAGTGGATACAAGCAATCTTGTTCCCTGCTGGATCCCCAGCACTGCACGCACTATTTGACACATGAGTTAATGAACTCAGGGGTTCTCTAAAAGATTAACATTTGATGCCTGTGGTTCTGATAGCAACAGCAGGAATTCTAGTGAATTTGTATAGCAGCAGGAACTGATCACATGTGTATATTATTTAGGTCAGAGACCACCTGTAATATCTCCTTTTATATTTGAATTTTTAGTTATTTTAATATTTAAAGGCAGTGGCTAACACCTAATAAAGTGCTAAAGTTGAGAAAATGAAACTTAGAGAATCACTGAAATTTTAGTTTCTTAGTCTTTCGTACTATAAGATGTTGACTAATTTCTGTTATACTGTCATGTGACAGCTTTGCTCTTCTATTTTTTCCTCCAAGCTTAGAGTCTCCTAATGTAAGCATTGTGCTGTTTATGAAATTCAAAATTTTGGCATACTTCAGCTTTTCCTTTGTTTGCATGCATAGGTGGTGGTCGGTATGTTCCGGGGTCTTCATCAGGATCTTCTAATACACTGCCTGCAGCAGATCCTTTTACAGGTGGGATGCAGTTTTGATAAATATAGCTTTCTTCACTTAATGTGTAGCATTTTGCATTATATGGCTTTACATTTTGGAGACATCATCTAATAATTAATAATTCCCTTATCTATATTCCAATTTTGATGGATCTCCTTTTCTTTAACTTCTAATTTTTGCTTTTTCCTGGAGTATTTTGTAGTTTTTCTCATGACTTTTAAATAGCATATTATTAGAACTCATCGTTTTCTCCAGTGGTCCTTCCTGCAAGGAGAGCAAGAGTCATTAAGGGCATAGTTTTTAGAGTCAGATAGACCTTGGTTCAAAATCTGGCTCTACCACTTACTTGCTATGAGAAGTTGGCAAGTTGCTTAACCTGTCTGAGCCTAATTTTTTTATCTGTGAAATTAGATAATAGGGGAACCCACCAACCAAGACACAGCATGAGTGCTATTACTGGCGAGATTCTACTGATCACAAGCAAAGAAGGAGCCATGTGAGTCGTTGATATTGGATGAAGCGGTGCAGTCAAGAAGTCTGTTTAAGCATATTTTGCCTTAGCATGGAAGGACACAGTCCACCCAGGATTAGTCTTCTAATCTATGTTATTAATGGCCTTCGTGAAGCCCTGGAAGTGTTGGTGTATCTCTTCACAATGACTTTATTTACCAAGGTATGCATGCCTCAGCATCAACACTACTGGGAAAAAATTGCCAAGCTTGGACTTTAATGCAGCTGAAGAAGTCTCTGTTTTCAGAGTAGCTTTTGATGTATTTTATGATGCTTTTGTTGGATCATCAGCCAGAGTTCCCGGACAATATACCCAATTTGGGAAGAGATTCTTGGCACTTAATGGTATCCACTGGCCTTGCCAACATAGATTCCTGTCTAAACCATAGATTGGATCAACACACAACCTTCAGTCACTATCATGAAGTTGTGAATTGCTCTCAGTGAGCTTCTTCTCTCCTGTGAATGAATTGGTGGCCCAGATGCCCCGTAGCTGTACCCTGTGCATTGGTAACCAGTATGCTACAGTCACCATCTATCAAGATCCAGCTAAATGTTGTGATGGCACAATGGCTATTAAGGAAACCCTTGATGACATAATGCAATTTAATAAGGTAGTAAGGATCTGAAGAGTAGATAAGAGGTGATGGCTTATTCAGACATAGTGATGCCCTGAAACTTAGAACAGCGTAGTTCACAGATCTCATTAGCAGCTTTTTCTTGGAACAGAAGGAAGCTTCAAGCATACCATCAAAATCAAGAGAACTCCTGGGGCCGTCTGTCTCACTGTTGCACAATGTCAGTAACTCCGAAGATTCAGTGATTATGGAGATATGCAAGATAGCATACTAGGATAACAACCACACTATTATAAAAAATAGATAACCGCACCTACATATTGAGATGTTATGAAAATTAAATGGTATAGTACATGTGAAGTTTAGCAAAATGCCTGGACTATATTTAAGCCCTCAATATATTTTAGTATATATTCCCCCAATTTTACCAGTAGCACTGGGGCAAAGAGTTTTTCCCGTTCACCTTACAGCTTAAGGTCAATCTTAATTCTCTTTCCTTTTCCTTATTTATGTGCTTCTCAAACTTCTAATGTTAATTAGAATCATCTGGGATGCTTGTTTAACTCATAAGGTCCTTCCCACAGAGATAATTCTGATACACTAGGTTGGTGAGGAGGTAAAAATTACTCATGCCCTGATCTCTCACCCATGGATTCTGATTAAATGTTCTTTGTTGTTTGTTTTGCCGTTAGGTAACTTTAAAAGCTCCCTATAAGTTTCTAAAGAGAAGCCAATTTGGAGAACCACTAGGCTATTATGGGTGGGCCTAGGAATCTGCATATTGAACAGGTGACTCTCATGTGGTTGAGAACCACATTTAGAAAAGTGTAGGATTGTACTTTGCCTTTATAATTAATGCCTTGGGCAAGTTATCCAGCCTTCTTCTAAAATACTAATAATAATGGTATCTAATTGATACTTAAATGAGTATATAATATAAGATGCTTAGCATGCGGGGCACCTGGGTGGTGCAGTCAGTTAAACAGCCGGCTCTTGGTTTCAGCTCAGGTCATGACCTCAGGGTCATGAGATTGAGCCCCACCTTGGGCTCTGCCCCCAGCAGAGTCTGCTTGGGTTTCTCTCTCCCTCTCCTTTGCCCCTTCCCCCGGCACGCTTGCGTGCACGCACACACACGCGCACACACACACACACTCTCTCTCTCCCTTTCTCTCTCCTACAAATAATAAATCTTTTTTAAAAAGATGCTTAGCATGCTACCTAGCATATTAGTAAAAACTCAACAAAGCCTCTTATTCTGTGTTCTTCGTTATTTTAATTTATTTATATCTACAGTTTGGGGTTTTTTTTCTTTTGTATAGTTTGCTTTTTCTGTATGTGTTACACCGGTTATACCAACGCCTAGATATTAAATTCAGAGGGGCTGGAAAAGTAGCTCATCTTTCTTCTTCCCACAAAGGCTGGTCAGGACTCTGAACATCTCCAAATCCTGCTGATTCTTTCTCTACACTGGTTTTTCATGTTCCTTTCTTTCCATTTTCAATGAGACATCCACAAGTAGGATCTCAAATATGAGACAGAGCTATTATCATTAGCATCCCTAAATCTTACCTAGTCTCTTCTTTGCTTATGTATTAGCTGATCCTCTCTATTTCAGTAGAATAGTGTTCACATTTATTTTTTTGATTGTTTTTAATTTTTTAACGTTTTCTTTTTAAGTACTCTCTGTACCCATTGTGGGACTTGAACTTACAACCCTAAGATCAAGAATCTAACGCTCTACCAACTGTGCCAGCTAGGCACCCTGTGTTTACATTTCATTATGGGAATCTTTTAATTTCTTCTCTCCAATTCACTAATGCTTTTTCAATTCATTAGCATCTGTAATTATAATGTATAAGGCATCTAATGTTTATTTTGTAATTTGAGAATTACTTTTAAGACTAACATTTATCACCAACTATATGCCAGGTACTATTCTAAATGAATTTATAGCCCATTTATTATGTATATAAAGATGCCATTCTGAAGTGTGACTCATAATGAAAATAAGTTATTCTATGTAGAGAGGAGCATTTTGAACTTTAACTTGCAGTTACCTTTGCTTACTAGATGTGTTATTACATTTTAGGTGGTGGTCGTTATGTGCCAGGGTCTGCCAGTATGGGAACTACCATGGCTGGAGTTGATCCATTTACAGGTACACACTTTTCCACTTTCCATTTCTTTTTCTTCTTCTTTTTCTTCTTCTTCTTCTT